ATGAACGTCTCCCCCCCACCGCTTCTCCCCCCCAACAGTACGGCGAGCGTTACGGGACAAAATGTCTTCCACGACGTCCGCATCACCTACCTTCTCAAGTGATGAGGTTTGTTTACATAGATAATTTTACAGATAGTATTTCATTAGTCTGTGTAGGGTATAGATTTCATGTAGACTTAAGATAATAAATATACCCGTTATTTTTTCTACGTCGTTGTGACGTTTTGGTGAGCTGCTTTGCATGGTGATATAAACAGACGAAGGAATTGTAGTCATTAGTTTAACAGCGAGATTGTGTTCGCTGGAAGAATATATATTCCCCGTTTACAGAGTCCAAGTCTTGTTTGTGGCACGGGGGTTACAAGGCAAGGAAGAGGGAAAGGAAGAGGGCAGAGAGGCCGGGGTGAGCGTGCAGCTGGGGCCAGGCGAGAGAGGAGAGCCAGCGGGGTGAGAGCAGAGGAGGAAAGGCTTGAAGATCTCCAAAGGAGCCGGAGAGAAGTAACCGAGGTATATATCCAGAAAATTATTTTACAGAAAATTACTGAATCATTACCTGTGAAACGTCAGGGACGTTGCTGAATAAGTATACTGGAGAGTAACAGCATCATCACGCAGCATGTTATTGTTTTAGACAGGTCTGAGCATCCTGTACTCCAAAAACTGCAGTGATATTAGACAATTGTGTGTATAGGATTAATTACCTGTCCAAGAGAAAACTGGCAACTTGAGCGTCACTTTGAAAACCTTTTTCCTCCATCAGTGACTTCCATCGTGTAAATGCCGTGCCAATGTTGATCCGTGTTTTTTGTCGTTTCTTGTCACTCTTGCGTTTATTCTCGTCGTGTTTCCGCTTCTTAGATGACGGGGGTTCGGTGTCCGCCGCTTTTCGTTGTGATACAGAGTAGGCATGATCCTCCATTCGTCTGATGTTTGGCCACACAGTGCCAAACAGTTTGCAAAGTCACTCACGCCTGCCGCCTTGTTTACCTTTCTTGTTACCGAGGCGCAGTATACCTGCTTCTTCTTCTTCTTTGGTTTCAGGCAGACTAAACGCTTCTCAGGCATAATACTGCCATCTACTGTTCAGTACCGTCTCAGTTCATCTCTCTCAACTTGCCGTAGTTATTTTCGAGCGTCATGGGAGATCTCGCAATCGCTAGTTTGTTGCCTCTGCGCTGCCGTAGCGCAAAGATGTCTGCCTCCATGGCTGCGAGACCCGCTCCTATGTAATTATAAATAACGAATTCTAAGGCAACGCAAATGTTATGGTTAAAAGGCTGAGCTCATAGGTGATGATAAATAACATAGTTATGTATAATATATTAAATTTCTGAATTTATATGCCTGTAATTATTACACACTGTAGCTTTAAATACAATGACTTCCTAGTCAATTGTGCCAGAGGCCCACCTCCTTGAGGATGGGTGGGAGAAAAAGAGTGAACCCTGGTCCGAATGTCTTCTCAATGCAGGGACAATAAAAAAAAAAAATACAGAAAGTCTTATCTTTATCTGTGTTGCATCTTTATTAAAATGACTGTTATTGTTCTATAGTCCTCCTTTTGCTTTTATTTCTGTCGTGTCTTTAACCATCCACCAGAGGTCTCTAGTGTCTGCTTCTCCAGCCAACAACCTGCAGCTTCTCTCTTTCTACTTTCTAATCAAAGTATTTGAGAATCTACATTTTTTCAAAGCTTATTATCAGACCCTGCTTATTGCAAAATTATTGGGGTTTTTTCCCAATTCCTTTTTACATATTAAAATCTCATGTTGTTGCTCAGTCTTTTAATTCAAATTAACTTGTTTAAAAAACAGCAACAATAATGATCCAATCAAAAAGTCACTCAACCTGCTGTACCATCTTAGAAAATAGGAGAAGCATCCCGCTTCTAGACACAACTAACTTATCATAACAGCCTTTGGGTGTGAGACGTTTGTGGCCACCAGGGGGCGCATTTGACTTTAAAATGCTGCAGTCTCAAGGTCATTGCAGCAGGATGTGTTTTACCCTCTCGGTCGCTCCTGCCATTGATGCTGCAGGATGTGGACTGCGCAGCTGCAGAAGGACTGTGTCATACAGAGAGGAAACTAAAGGGGGGGACACTCATCAATTTTTCCTCATGACTAATTCATAGAAATTGTTGAAATACGAAATTCAAGTTTGACTAATCATTGAAAAAAAAAAACTATATATATATATATATATATATATATATATATATATATATATATATATATATATATATATATATATATATATATATATATATATATATATATATATATATATATTGCCATCCATATGTTGCCAATGTGGGTTCAGTTGTAATAAAAAAGTGCCTGCTTCACGCGGGGCACAATGATTCATTTCCGCGTTTCCATTCATTTCACGACGTTTGTAATGAGCAGATGGATGGTGCTGCCAGGAAACCAGACCACAACTAACATGTGACCAACAACGAAACACTGCTTCGGGAGATCCCTGCCTGCTCCTCTGCACGTACTCATCTCTGCGTCATCTTTTTCCGCATTACTCCATCTTTGAATATATATACATATATATATGGATTAAAGCACAGAAATACATTCTTTTTCCACCATCCGTTTAATTGAAGTTAAGATCTCTACTCTGTGTTCTGTACTGTTGTTTTAGGCGATGCTTCAATTAAGAATATCCGCATCTTCTATTCTCTGAAGTAGCAAAGTATGGCAAGTCATTACATTATTTAATACAACCTGTTACCCTCAATATTTTAGTAATCTCAACAAGCATTGTTCAAAGGAAGAAACATTTCCTATGGAGTTGTTGTCTTTTGAATGTCTACGACCCTTTTAAAAACATTTTAATCACATTTTAATACAATCTATGATTTGGTTATCTGAAAAAAGTAATATTAGGCAACCTTTCCTGTTAGCCACACTCAGTTGCTATTTGTTGTAAATGAAATTTTAAAAATCTAAAATGAAATAAAACTGTATCTTATTCATTAATGAATATAAATAATGGAAATTATTTGATCGGAATACCGATTATTTTAAGTGGCATAAGAATTTATATAAATCAGTGTTTTATAGGGGGCATTTACTCATGCAGTAGGCAGGCTGCAAAGGGAATCAGCCATGTGTTCTTGCTATGCATCACCATAATTCAGTGGTCAACAGGCAGCAGACAGGGTAGATAGATCCATCCTCACACAACTTTATGAGGAGCCAGTATGTATTTAGGCTTTTGTGAGGAAGAATTTAGTACACAACCTTGCAGGGAGAACATAGCAATTTAAAGATATGGATCCTCCTAATCCTTATTGCTAGGCTCTTTGTATTATTAAGAAAGAACAGATATGTATCATACCTTCAGTGTTAGAAACTCAAGCCAACTTGACCATTTAATGCCATTAAATATGCCACAAATTAAATTACTTTTGTTTCACTTTGTATATACTGATGTGCAGAGGCGATTCTAGAGTCTGTGGGGGCCCCAAGCAAAAAATCCTAGGGGGCCCTACCGACCAGTGTTCATCACCATTATGTTAGGCTATAAATAATCTGACACCAACGAAAAATGTATTAAATAAAACCTTTTTTTATTCCAAATGTTCTAAACATGAACAACCTTGTTATTTTGGAAAATATAAAAGAAGAAAAAGTTAATAATAAATTAAAATAAATGTATAATAAAATAAAAAACAGTAAACAGTATAAAAATAAAAAACAGTAAATTACTTTAAAAACCCAATACAAACGTTGTACAAAATATAAAGTATAGTAAGTGTAGTGAAATTATTGGGGTCCTATACTGCTTTCAGAATTGCTGCTTACGGGCCTTGGCTTGTGCAAATGCAGACATAAGTCCTCCAGATCCAAAGACCTTCGCACACTATACCCTATGGAAACAAGTGCCAGTCCTGAAAGTCTCTCTTGACCTCAGGTTTTTATCAGCTTTAACGAGGAGAAACTTCTCTCTCCAGAGGCAACAGTGACCGGGAGAGTTAACAGCAGACGGAGGGCAATGCTGAGATTTCCATAAAGATCCAGAATCCGTTCCTTGTAAATGTAATCAAGCATCTCTCTTGGAGAGGCAGAAACATGATCAGGAAAGGCATGGACAGCAGCCCTGTCCTTTCATTATTCATTGCTATCATAGAATTCACTTAACGCTATAGCTGCTGTCTCCCCGTTAGAAGACAAAGTAGCATCATTTCAATGACAGCTGTTAATGTTATGCTTAAATCATTATCTGCTCCACTTACCACTGTCTTTCTTTCTTTTGCTTCTTCATATTTTTTCTTCTTCTTCTTCTCGCTACCAGATGGATAGCTCCTCTTCATTTTCCTTCAGCTTAGTTACTTAATTGCTTTCCAATTTACTGAACGATAGGCCTACAACGTCACCCAACACATTCATTCATTTTCAGGGAAGTTATCCACCTGGCTGGGCTGGGCTGGATTTTGACTGGGCGAAGCCAATGTCAATCAACATTCCATCCAATCGAAATTTTTATATGCAGTTGTGCATCTCCTCAGTCACTATAGCGTTGTCACTTCACGCTCGCCTGTTGCTGTTTATCTACCGGGTGTACAGTAGCTGGCTCTCGGGGGCCCCCCAGCGGCTCGGGGCTCCAAGCAGTTGCTTGGTTTGCCTGTTGACAAGGTGCGCCTCTGCTGATGTGCCTGTATTCATATGTGAGCAAACAACAGTGATGTGATGATTCTATGCCACTTTTCTTTTCTCCTTAAGATATGTACCTTTATTTTGTACAAATTGTGTGGCAAAACTCACTGCCCGTCTGACCCTCCTTGGTGCCTGTGGGTATTAACTGAGGATTGATCTATTATTTGAATTTGACAAACAATATATGCCAAAATCATTAAAAACTCCTAGATTTCCTTGAAATGTTAAACCGTTTGAGTGTAGTGTGATTACATGCTAATGTGGCCTGCCGTAGCCCCTGACGGCGAACGTGCTTCCTCCCTCGCGCTGCTCTGCGTGGTGATTCGGTTCCAGCCAATCAGATTGCGCCTTTCCTGACTCCGTCCACTTATCATCAGGCTCTCAGCGTCACGAGCGTCTTCTCTGCTTGCCCGCCCGAGAGACACAGCACCCTCATTGCACACAGTTAGGCCAGAAAAGGTAACTTTATCCGCGTTTTTTTACCCTTTTCTTAAAAACAGAAGGTGGGCTTATTTAGCGCGTATGCTCATACATGTTTTGTATTAATTTTAAAACTTAATAATTTTCGCAAAATCCTGTACATAATTTATTTTATCCTCGCCGGCCTTGTCAGAGGCTTGTCCTTGGGTTAGCTAACTCCTGAACGGTTACCTGTCTTCCCTGCTCCAACAGTTTATTTTTCTTTCTTTTCAGTTAGTTTTATGTCTTGCAGGATGCAGCAGCTCGTGGCCCATCGTCTATTTTTAAAAGCAGGCCCGTCAGCTGTAGGGATATCACTCTCCATTTAGAGAGCTGGGTGTGTGGAGGGGTGTCGGGTTGCGTGGTCCACCTTGTAGCCAGTTTTCCTGCTCATTTTGTTAGAAAAGGATCGTTTAATTCAGCAATGGAGGATGTGTGGAGAACCTGATAGTATCACTAGTTATATTACTGTTTGAAGGCTGCAGGGGCGGAGGTGTGTGAAGGAAAATTACCGTGTTGCAGCAAGTCTACACAGGCTCAAACGTCTGCTTTAGGCAATGTCAATTTCCATCAATGGGTTTTCTTCCCCATATTTCTATACAGCTATAGATTTAGCCAGTAAAGTGATGGATATTTGGGGGTCTTAAATGTATACCCATAAAACAATTTCATCCTTTTTTGTTAGTTTTGCTGAATATATCAGGTGCCTCATCATTTATCCAAAGATGGCCTTTTTTCCAGGCAAAGTCTATATATTTTAAAGAAATTAACAAGCTCTCTCACTTTGACCAATCTTCCTGTATATTTTCCTGATGAGCATGGTGTGTAAAAGGGAAACATGCTGCAGGGTTTAGTAGAGCTTGTAGTTTTAATCCAACTGCACACATGAGGTTAAAGGCTTTTGCTTGGATGCATTTTATGACTGGGAAAAACTGAATTTTGTTTAACAGGCTAGTTGAATAAAAATGTTTCTTTCTCTTATCCCAAAAGACAACGTATATTGTATATAATTGAAAATATTTTTATCTCAAACGGGTTATACATGTACAAGAGAGCTGAAAATCAGTTCTTTATTTAAAGAAGTGGAGTACCTGTGTCCTGCATGTTTATTTGCAGCAACACACCTGGCTTGTATGAATGAGTGATTAAGGAGCTCCTGCAGCACTTGTTGGTTACTGAGGCTAGGTGATTGTTTGAATCAGGTGTGTGTCTAGAACATGTATCAGTTACACTAGTCTCTGGTTATCTATCCTCAACATACTTGGATTTTTCAGTTGTATATAGTGGCTATAATTCCACACAGGCTTTTAATGGTTGCCTCTGCTGTTGGTTTTAATGTGGCTGCAAACTATGGATTTGGTTTGCATAGAGTGCTAATCAATGGAACGCTGCAGGCATCATGGCCAGACACTCCAGCTCTCTGCTGCTGAAACTGGAAGAGATTATGGTGCCACTCAGCTCTGCAGTCCATATCACTTAACAAAAGGAGACCAAACAATTCCCTTATGCCAGGTCACGTTCCCATTGTTAACATGTTTATATTCAATTGCTGCAGTAGAGAACATTTGTGCAAGAATTTTGCAATTTTTTTGTTTGACTACCCACTCAAACAAAAAATGTTGCAGTGAAGCCACACCTCTTAGACTAAAGCATAATGTGTGGCCTGACTGCATCAGTCGGGGGTGAACAGGTTGTATGCTTAAGAACATTCATCTGTAGTTCTCTGGGATTTTTTTTTCCCTTGAGTTTTTTAGGTTTTTGTTTCTTGCCAAGTCATTGTTTACTCCTCAGCCAGAGACTGCAGTGTAGCCTGTCTCCTTCAGGGCTGCATTATATTAATGAGCCTTTGCTTTGTACTCTAACAGAATAAGAAACCATGTCTATCCTGAAGATCCACGCCCGTGAGATTTTTGACTCCCGTGGCAATCCCACTGTGGAAGTTGACCTGTACACGAAGAAAGGTATGTTGTCCCTTTTCTAAAGCTATAATATAATTTTTTTTTTTTTTGACCTTTTCGAGGTGATTCTTCAGGCGTGCAAGATTTTTTTCAGTCTGGCTGAGTTTCAGCCTCATTGTGTGTCCTACAAACTGTAGTATACAGGGGTCATGATGGATGAGCAGCCTCCCTATCAGGAATCGTAATGTCGGAAGATTAAACATGTTTCAAATTCAGTCGTAAGGTTTTTGTGGAAAAATCCTGCTGTTGAAGGAGAGCTATGAGCCGATTTACCAGAAACCTCGAGCACTGCCCATGTGCAACCAAGGAGGTTCTTCCCGATTGACAAGTCTGACCAGCGCCATCTCTCAGCGCTGGGTCCGACATACGTTTTTTAGACGTACAGTGTGAGTAGGTAGATCGCATCAGAGCGTCAGGCCGCACCGTGGGCTTTAAAATTTTTAACTCTGCGGCTTCTTCGTAGTTTGAGTTGTAGCTGAGTGCAACTATTAAAAAAAATCGCACAGTGTACGCCTGGCTATAATGTGAAGCTTCTCTATGGCGTTTCCTTCATCCAGACCTCAAATTATTAAGCTGTTTAATATGTAGATGATAAAACACAACAATTTAAATGTATCTTACATCAACTTTGGCAGACAAAGTTCAAACCTGTATTCTGTATCCCTCCCTGATGGCACAGTGAGATCAGAACCATTTAGTCAGATAAAATGATCGTTTAAAAATGTCTCCTGTGATTGACTGCAAGCATACTTTGTTAATATACTTTCAAGAAACCCAGAGTCCAGTCAAAAGCTGTGCTTTTGATATGAAACGTTCATCAATCGATCTGCTTTCTTCAAGAGCTTCTCCATAAATGCATCAGCCAATGTCATGTTCTTTGTAGGGATCCTTAACTAAAAAAGACAAACTGGAATCTGTGCTTAAATGCATAAATGGGTAAAAAAAAAAAAACTTGAAATATTTTTTTATTCCATTTTGGGTACGTTTTATTGTAATCTCAGAAAACCAAAAACCTTTATTGTCTCAGATGTTGGATCAATTAATCTGTTAAAAATCCGACTTTATTGGCTTCACTCTGTTTAGCCATTTTATGTTCAACCTTTAAAGTTTTCCCACATTTAACTGAAGCTTATATCACTTTATCTAAGCAAGTGGTGGTCTTTCTACCTTATTTTACTTTTTATATTAATGGGTTTTTTCCAAGTTCAGACAAAGGAAGTTACTCAGTCTCTAATGTCCTGAGAATGTTAATGAAGCAACCTGAATGATCACTGACATGGAAGAGGATCAGACTGGCCTAAAAAAGCAGCCAGACTTCTCTACAGCGATCTATTGATCGGTTTAGTATGGCTGTCTAGTTTTGTTTACAGTAAATCTCCTTTATTTGCTATTTTGACAGAATTCCTTTTTAGTCCAGCAACAGAGAGTGTCTGCACTCTACAGCATCCAGTCTGTTATAATAAACAGGCGCTTTGTCTCCTGTTGGACAGTCATACTCTGATCTTTATCATCAGCTTGTTGAACAATTTGCATAAAATCAATATTTTATTTAGCAGTTCAGAAACATTTGCAGTTAGGAAAGTTTTTTTTTAGCCCGTTTGCCCTCATATTTAGCAAATAAAGTCAGAAAGCACTTTATTCATGGCCTGATGTGGCCTGATGTGCTGTAGTCACTGCTCCCTGATCAGTGCAGGTTCATTTCCAGCTGCAGATTTGTTGGCCTGTACCAGAGCGCCTAGATGGCAGCTGGGTCCTGTTGTCCTAAGCACTAAATCCCCTCAGATTCTACAGTCTCTGCTGCTCCACTGAGCAGAATGAATAGTGCTTTTTTTTTTATTCCAGACTCATTCACTTCTGACTCGGCTGGGCTTGTGTGGGCAGGACTTGACATCCTGCCACAGATTTACTGCACATGCTCAGTCCATGGTTTTTTTTTTTTCTCATTCGGTTACATCATCGCGTTCTGCAGCTCAATTTCCTTGCTGTGGATTTCATTCCCTTTGGGCTGAAGGAAACAAATATCTGTACTCTATGAATGTTTCCCTGTAAAACGTAAGGAAGCAGCATGTCCTGGTGAAAAGTTATTTAAAAGCTGCTTTGGCTGTTTTGTGCATGAGCAAAAGTTTGTAAAACTAAACTTTTTTTTTTTTTTTTAAGGTCTCTTCAGGGCTGCAGTTCCCAGTGGTGCTTCCACAGGCATCTATGAGGCCCTCGAGCTCCGTGACAATGACAAAACCCGCTACATGGGCAAAGGTAAAGTATCCTGTTTAGTTGCTTTAAACTGTGGCCACTTCCATCCTTCTGCAACCTTTCAACACTTCTACAAACTCTACCCTATTTCTTCATCTTGTTTTTTTCTTTTCAATTTCCCCATTTCTGTTCTTCCTGTTAGGAGTCAAAAGAGCTGTTAAATATATAAATGAGTTCTTGGCCCCTGCATTATGTAACCAGGTAAATAAAGAGAAAATAAGGGTGACTCTGTCAGCACTGCACAGCAGCATGGAGAATGAGTTTGTACCTGGAGACTAATGTTGGTCAGGCACTAACAGATGTCCACAGATCTAAAATGTAGATTAAACTGCTAAATGAGTGGCTGTTTAAATCATTTACCTGTGTGAAACCAGGCGCTCTGTGTTCATCTGTGTGGCCTGCGTTGCATGGTCCTCTCCTGTCCGTCAGTCATGGTCTGCTTGTCCCTTGCAGGTGTCTCTAAAGCTGTTGAGCATATCAATAAAACTATTGCACCTGCACTGGTCAGCAAGGTAGGACCATTCATTGTTTGACTAATTTGTGTGCTGATTTCAGTTGTTTTAGTTTAACTCTAGTAAAAAAAAAACCTAACAGAAAATACTTTAACAGCAATGGTAGAGATGACTAACACTGCAGCATTTCTGTTTAAAATGTTTTAGAGCTGACCTTTGTGTTTAAAATGCTATTACTGCAGTATAATTCTCAGATGTCTGCACAACTTTATAGATCAATAACGTTAACAAGTGAAACAAGTTGAATTTCAGTGTCTTTGGTCCAACTTGACCTGTCCCCCCCCCTCTGAATCTAGAGTGTGAATGTTGTGGAGCAGGAGAAGATCGACAAGCTGATGCTGGACATGGATGGAACAGAAAACAAGTGTAAGATGCTGCTTTAAAACTGATTCCCAACATTTTTAAAGCCAGTTTTTTTTTTTTTTCTCTAATAATCCCAGAGGGAAATCACTTCTCTGCATTTATCCCATCCCCTTGGGGAGCAGTGGGCTGCCATTGTGCGGCGTCCGGGGAGCAGTGTGGGGTTAAGGGTCTTGCTCAGGGACCCAGAGTGGCAGTCTGTGGCAGGGGGGGGGATCAAACTCACAATCTCAGGATTCAAAGCCCTATGCCATAACCACTAGGCTGCCACTCCCCCGTGAGTGGTCTCATGGTATTTGACATAGCTGTTGCATAAAAAAAAAAACCTTGGGCGCCTGTGAGGTTAAGCTGTGTGTGGAGCTCATGAAGGCTTAAACTGATCAGAACAGCCCACATTCATTAAAGTTTGGCGTTTGCAAAGTCAATCTGACTGGTCAAATGGAAAACTACATCAGTGACCTTCTGGGATGAAAACTAAAAAGTAAAATGGCAGCCAAGATTGGAGCCAGATATTAAGGGAATCATTTCTCTGAACCTTCATGTCATCCAGACTCAATATACTTTACACATCACAATTTAATTTTTACCTTAGTTTTGACCTCCAAGATTGTTCAGAAGAGGATTAGGGCCACTGAAAAAAAAGTTAACTGATTTTTTTTTAATTTTATTTCAGTTTAATATGGGGAAAAAAGTCAGAATTCTGACTTTATTTTGTCGCAATTCTGACTTTATTTTGTCGCAATTCTGACTTTATTTTGTCGCAATTCTGTTACATGTTAGCTTTAGAGACTAGCTCTCTTGTTTTAATGAGGGGACCCCTCAGGCAAGTAAAGTCACCTAATTCCATCATTTTCCACCAATGTGTTACTGGCCCTCCCAAACAACTCACATCTTTGTAGGAGAAGCTGAGTGCTCCCACATCTCTTCCTTCATGGTGCCCATCTACATTAAGATCCAAAATTCTGAGATTAAAGTCAGAATTCTGACATTATTCCCCATGTTAAACTGAAATAAAATTTAAAATCTGTTAACTTTTTTTTCTTTAGTGGCCCTAATCCTCTGCTGTAAAGATGTAATAATTGCAGAACAAATTAAATGTATTGCTATAAATGCCAAAACTTGCCATAATTTGTCATAAGCAGCCAGTTTGAGACATTGTGGGTTAAAAGTAGGCAAACAAATTGCTCTAACTCTAATGTACAGAAGCAGCTTTTAGTGTTGTAGTCAGGAGCTGTTTCAGTGCTAGCATCAAATAATGGTTCATTTTCCATCCTTGGTGAGTTTTGTTGCCAGTGTTGCTTTTATTTCACGGTAAACATTTGTTTAGGGCCACAATGATCTGATCAACAAAAAGTACAGTTTGTCTTTTATTATTTTATTGTAAAAGAGGAAATCCTGCTTTTAAATTGCTGAATGTTATAATAGTTCAATAAGATATATTCCTTACAACCAGATGCAGCTTTAACTTTAATTTAGAGTTGTCGGCTTAACATGAATAATCCTCATCCTTTACCCTGGCTGTACAGATTTAATTTCCAAGAATAGAGGAAAGGCTTCACAAAAACAGAACCCTAAATTATTGGAAACCTGGACTAGATTGTTTTGGTTTAGTAGTTTATCCTCACATTCCACATCCCAGCTGGAGATCATACCATAAATGTACAGAAACTGTAAAGGTTGTAAATAACTATGCACTTGTATCTAAAACCCAACAACTGGATTTTAAATTTCTAATGTTAACATGTTGTACGCCTGATGAACAATAGTCTACAATTTAGCCTAAATTAAACTGCAGTAAATGAATCAAACTAATTAAAATGCAGTGATTTTACATGAAGTAGGAACCAGTGTCATTGGTGGTTAATAAGGTTGATAATCGTATTTATCTTGAAGCAATACAGCGTACTGATTATACCTGTCTTCCCTTCCTCAGCTAAGTTCGGTGCTAACGCCATCCTGGGCGTCTCCCTGGCTGTGTGCAAGGCTGGTGCAGCAGAGAAGGGTGTCCCCCTCTACCGCCACATCGCTGACCTGGCAGGAAACCCTGAAGTCATCCTCCCTGTGCCTGTAAGTATCATGGAAGCTGTCCTCAAAGGACTGGTGCCCTTTGGCCAAAAAAACATTTCATCCAGTCATTACACTTGATCCTGATTCCTTTCTGCTAATCTTTAGGCTTTCAACGTCATCAACGGCGGCTCCCATGCTGGAAACAAACTGGCCATGCAGGAGTTCATGATCCTGCCTGTTGGCGCCAGCAGCTTCAAGGACGCCATGCGGATCGGTGCCGAGGTCTACCACAACCTGAAGAATGTGATCAAGGAGAAATACGGCAAGGATGCCACCAACGTTGGAGATGAGGGTGGCTTCGCCCCCAACATCCTGGAAAACAAAGAAGGTGAGTGAAATGAAGTCGCTTAACCCTGCATCAGGGTTGTAGTCTTTGAAATGAAGGTCTTGCTTTCATCTCGCTGGGATTCTGTGGCTGACCACTCTATGAGCAGCTCACAGACCCTAAATGTGTTTTACTTAAGTATATTGCTTTTAATCAGCTCTGGAGCTGCTGAAGAACGCCATCGCCAAGGCCGGCTACACTGACAAGATCGTCATCGGCATGGATGTGGCTGCCTCAGAGTTCTACAAGGGAGGAAAGTACGACCTGGACTTCAAGTCTCCAGATGACCCCAGCCGTTACATCACCCCCGACCAACTGGCTGACCTCTACAGGGGCTTCGTCAAGGATTACCCTGGTGAGTTTTTAATACTTTTAAGGGATAGATGATGTAGATTATGCAACTGGGCCAGAATATTGACTCATTCAATATTTTGATCTAACCGAGGTTCTCCCTGAGGTATTAATCAAATGCTTACCTTTCTCACAGTTGTTTCCATCGAGGACCCCTTTGACCAGGATGACTGGGAGGCATGGACCAAATTCACAGCCAGCACCAACATCCAGGTGGTGGGCGACGATCTCACTGTCACCAACCCCAAACGTATTTCCAAGGGTGTGGCTGAAAAAGCCTGCAACTGCCTGCTGCTGAAGGTCAATCAGATCGGCTCGGTCACAGAGTCCCTGCAGGCGTGAGTATCCATAACACTGCAGGACTGTTGACAAAATTCAAAGCAGTAAACAGAGTTTAAGCAGACTGAAATGTTTCCTTTGTTTTAGCTGCAAGATGGCCCAGACCAATGGCTGGGGGGTGATGGTAAGCCACCGCTCCGGAGAGACTGAGGACACTTTCATCGCTGACCTGGTTGTTGGCCTCTGCACTGGACAGGTAATCGCCTTTTTATAAACACTCTAAACGGTTTTTACTTTTAGATCTAATGTATCTTGTACTTGTTGCAGATCAAGACTGGTGCACCTTGCCGATCTGAGCGTTTGGCCAAGTACAACCAGCTCCTGAGGTGAGTCTTCTGCACAGTCTGCTTAATAAAGGGAAAATATATGAATTTCAGACTTAATGGTGATAACTGTCCCTCAGGATTGAGGAGGAGCTCGGTGACAAGGCCCGCTTTGCTGGCAAGAACTTCAGGCACCCCATCTGAGACGGGTCAACTTCCTCTGGGCCACTGCGTGTTCATTGCTCATAAATAATCCCCCACACATGTACGCCACGCTAGATCGCCTGCTCTATATGGAGTGAAGATGGAAAAGACACCTCTATAACCCAAGGTCCAAGTCTGTAGTCTGTGGCGTTGAGAAGCGGCACTGTGTCCCAGTGCAGCCATATGGCTCAGCTCATCTGCTAACTCTGCTTTAGCTCCTGAATAGTGTTGGTCCTCGTGTTTTGTGTCTGTTACTGTGTGAAATTTCTTTAAGCTTCCTGTGAGTTGTAGTGATTGTGGTCCTCAGATTATTTGAGCAACTAACTTTAGTAGGGTTCAGCCTGAAGCAGTGGTAAGAGTTCTGTATGTGCAATGTGTTGCCTAAAGGTCTTGTGTTGCTGTAAGCACTGGCAGAAATATGTAATAAATAATATAGTTTCAAAACTTTTTGGTTTGCATTTGTCCTTTTAAAAAAATGTCCTTATTAGAATATTATGCACACTTGCAAAGAATCAAAGGGTTTTTTTTTATTCCTTGGTTAGTTCTCAACTTTAAGCTAAAGGAGGTAGACTCTTTGACTCAAGATGTTGACTCCATTTCTCCCTCCCCTGGGAGAAGGAATTTGAAAGCTCTGAGCCTTGCCAAGATAAATGGTCTATTCACTAGTGACCTCTGAGGGGTTCCAGCTGGATTTGTGCCACACAAATTAAACTGAAGGCCTTTATGTACTGGTCTATTTAAAAAAAAAAAGGTGTAAAACGGATCCGAATCTGTAACGGATTTAATCAAAACTGGTCTTTAAACAAACTTCACCTTATAGTGGATAAGGAGACTTGCAACCAAACTTAAACTGTCTTTGGTAGTTTAATGGATGTTTGGCGCCATCTTGTGCTCGATGGACAGCGGTGCACTTTCCAGACGCCACTGCGGGACATTTTAAGGTTATCTTGTAAAGCCAAACAGTGTCTTGTATTGTGAATTAGTCCTATGTATAACTTTCAACACTTTGTCATCTGAGCATGTCACCTACAGAGGGCTTTCTCCATATCTATATCAAATTGTAGGTTTTGTATTCCATTAACATTAAAAGAATAGTCGTCAGTAAAACTCACAACATGCACATAGGTAAGCCATATGGCTCTATATATGCACAAGGTTGTAATGGGTTCAAGAAGTGCATTCTGCATCTACCTTTGTGGTATTTGGCCGAATCGGTAAATTCTAAGTTATATTTTTCACCCCCACCATTAAGCATTATTGATAACATCTGCATTTACTAGTGAACATCTAAATCAGGAAAGTGCAATGCATTGTTGGACGCAAGAATGGAATGTTACTTGAAGGGTCCCCTTACATTACGATGAATAGTGATGCACCACAGGGCCCAAATCAGGTTATAACATTTCTGAATTATTGGTTGGTTCTTTATTTTGCTGTTATTGCCGTCAATTATGTAAATTAGACTTTTCATTTATTTGCACTTGAGCTAACACTACTTTCTGTTTATTGCTTCAAATCCAAATGAATTGCAAAATGGGTAAAAGAGCACAAGTATGAGCACTTTAAAAAGGTTATAGTTGATACTGAGAAACTGAGTAAAAATTTATTTATGAAAACAGAATTCTGCGTAGACAGTACAATGGACACATTAAAAGCAGCTAAGACCCATTTTTTAATATCAGTCATTTGTAGTTTTTTGTGTAATAAGCTGTTTTGATTTCAAATATTTTCACTTCTCAGTTGATCTAAATGTCATTTTTAATAACTACAGTTTTTTTTTCTGGGATCTGGGTTTTTAATTTGCAGTAATCTTATAACATTCTGATCCTCCCTCCCTTTTTCTTTTATATACCTTTATGCTTTTATTGGCTTATTTGTGTTTCCTCTACGTCTAGACAACTGAACTTCCCCACTGTGGGATGACAAATATCTATACTTTTTTAAATTTTAAGCGTATCACTCAAAGTTTAACAGTTTTTCCCTTTATACCACATTTGTTTTATTTTGATTTATTTTAAATAAAAAATAAAAAATATATATCTTTTTGGGGTGTTTATATTTTAATCTCCCCTGCACACCTAATAAATAATGAATTCATGATGACAGAATTGATGCCTCCAGGACTACTATTGAGCGTGGCGTTTCCGGCTTTGACCAGTAGGTGGCGGTATTTCACCGGTTGAGCTTTGAGAACTCACCCCCCGCTTCTCCTCCTCTAACTGCTCTCACCCCAAGATGAAGAAGGATGCTGTCATGCTGAGTACCTCTCATACACACCAGTCTGAGCATCCCGGCAACGATTACTCCCTCTGTATTCTCATAGTCCATCATTTATGACAGCATTATACCAAAAGCCGCTTGCTTAGTTCCAGCTACATAAGAAAAAGACACACAGGTGGCACTGCAGCTGTTGTACTACTACTGTTGTAGTGGCGACACTTGGCTAACTAACGTTGGCTAATTGCCCCTGCTGCTGCTGCTATTGTTTGTTGTTGCAGTCTCTCATCAAACAAATCACAGATGTTGTAGAGCAAGCTGTTTAAGGTAAGTGCAATGAGCTGCAATCAGCTTCTTCTTTTCACATTTGATATACAGCAGTGAATAATGATAAAAATGACAAATGTGAGGAAATAGTTTGGGAACGCTGGGCTGTTAACGCACATTCTTGTTTGGTAGCTGCTGGGCTCATTTGTTTGCCCCTGACTGTTGCTGGTTACCGTGAACCTAATGTTAGCGGCTAGTGACTAGCACTGATTGGGAATGCCAACTGGGTGCCGTCTAATGCATGGAAACACACGGCTCTTTTACAGCGGTTAGCTTGGAGTACGTGCAAAACACGCAACGTAACATTATAGTTTTATTTAATTTCTGTTAGATAAGGCTTAATCAGTAATAATGCACATTAGAAGCATTTCTACACGCGAAGCTCAGCTTGTGTGTGGTGTGTATTCCAGGAAGTAGACGTAGCCCCAACAAGCTATTGTCATTAGCTCCAGGAGACGTTAGCCAGCAAAGCTAACTTACAGTCTTTGTGTGTTTGCCTTAATTATTGTTGTGTTGCTCGTAGTTTGTGGTTATTTGAGATGACAGCACGACCTGTTTTTAAACCACACGAATGCAGGTTGGCTGCAAAATCTTGCTGAGTTGTGGAAACAGAAAGGAGAAACTTGAATATGTTTATGTTGATAAAATTGGACATCAAATATAGCAGCATTACTTCTGAACTACTCGAAACATTAACGGTTAATCTAGATATGCAATCTCCTGTTGTTATATTTGCATGGTTATCTATGCTTTTAGTGAATGTTTGGCTGATTTAAGGATAAGTGAAGTAATGCAAGTTTAAAACTAGTAAACAAAAATAGTTTTATATGAGTGGTTAAGAAAGATGTGCCACTTTTTTAATGTTTGTTTTTTGCTTTTGTTTTGGGATTTTTCCAGTTTTCTTTCCCACATAGAAAGCTCTGATAAACAAAACTTTAAAAGGGAGGGAAATATTTGTTTAATTTTCAACTGTAAAGCTGTTATCCAGTTGGCTTGGAGAATCAGATTTAAGGATTACAGAGTCTGCATTTCCTCACTTGTAATCATTATGCCGGATTCAAGGAACGAAGTGGACATCCTGACAGGATTTGACTTTTAAACTACCTTCCTGCTTCATCTAATCAAGTAGCTTACAAAAGGAAAGTTTCTGTGCAGTGCTGCTGCACCTCTCTGAGCATCTAAACAATCCCTGGCAACGGTTCAGGTCTGTTAGTAATGGCATGCTGGATACAGCAGAGACAGTAGAAAATGAAACTTCATACACACTTGTGGTTTATAATGTCTTGTTGTTCGGTCGCTGGGTTTGTCATGGTTATTACGTAATCATCTGTGGGGATGTTTTTGTGCTGACTCCAGATATTTGTGCCTAAAGCTTGAGAATTGTGTCTTGTAACCTTTCTAAACTCTTAAGAGCCGCTCCAAAACAAGTTGAATCCGTTTAAAGTTTCCTGACTATAATGTATTATACTCGTTTCGGTGCCCCTTTACCAATAGTGCATAAATAAAAAAATTTCTAGGTTTTCTTAGGGGTACTGTTTTGAGTTTAGCTGTACACTGATATTGATGATATTGAGGTTTGTGATTCATCATATTGTTTCAGTTTTACAGAAACTGCAACAATTTGCCTTGATTATAGCAACAAACTTGAGGCTACCCACAATACTACCTTCTTTCTACTATGTTATATATATATATTAGTGGTATACAACGACTTGAGTAGAGACATAAATGATTAAAATTGGTCATCTAGAGGGAACTTTTATATAAAATTAAGCATAATGGGTTTAAACGTAGCAGACACGTCACTCATTATGTCTTTTTAGCCTTAAAAAGTCTACTTTTGATCCCTAAAGCATCTTATTTCAGATGCTTGGTGGTTTGTAATTCAGTCTGGCAATGTTTAGTGGCTGTGATTTAGGTTTTCTCTCCCTACTATTTAGAGTATAAACTTGCTGTGTTGAGGTACAGAGATCTGCCATTACAGACTGTATGTTGATTACCAGTTCAGCACCACTCTGACTGAAAACCACCTTAATGGGTGGGTTTTGGAACAGCTCAAATTCCTTTGGGTTTTTTTTTTTTGTGGAGGATCACTCAAGAATGGCTCGAACTTTTAACAGCCTTTTGTTTGCTGTTGTCGTTCCACTCGAGGTTCTGTTCCTCGGTATGTCTTGCATTTATTTATTTATTTTTCTCTCTTGAGTAGAAAAAAAATCGCATATCCGATGACACACCCTGCCTATCGGGGGTGTAATCCGGTTGGGATGCTTTTGGAGCAGAGTCATGATAAGTGAAGTGTAATAAACCTGCCATTTTTCTTCATTGACTATATGTTTGAGTAATGGGAGCAAGCTGTGAGTAATATGTGGCAAAGGCCAGACAATGATGAGGAAAATCCCTTTTTTTTTTCTTTGATTTTTCTTTCCCCTTGTGCTGCGACACCTCTTTGTTGGATGACGTGTCAATGCACGCACTCTGGAATTCATTATTACCGTGTTGCACACAAATGGCAGCTTGTTGTTTTCACCTATTACTATGAGAAATAGTTTCACCTCAAAACCCCTGTTTTTCTCTGACAGCTCACTCCTGTACTGTCCAAGCCTTGTGGCGTTCCACAATGCATGGCGTTGAGGTAATCTTTAAATGCAGAGCTGCTGTATGTTGTTTCAAAGGGGAGGTGATTAGGGTTGATTTATTATTTTATTCAACGTGGTTCGGTTGCTGGGAGATCTAGGTAAGCAGTGAAACAGATGTTGTCAAGAGCCTACAAAGGAATAAACCAGCTAGATGTGAATCCATGTGTTTAAATGAGGAGGCGTACTTGTAGCAAAGACGACGCAATAGACGAGGGGAAAAAAAAAGAGGAAGGCAACTAGATTTTCCTTTGTGGTGTTCAATATCTG